TTCTATTTAGCTCAAACCAGGACAATTATTATTCTAACTTTGAACAAGACATGATCACATGTTGCAGAGATAGGCAAATTCTTTGCAAGTGTCGAGGGATGCTTTTAATTTTGAAGGCCACTTAAATGCATTTACATTTTTGAACACTCACTCCAGCTAAAGGGTTATCATTCATCTCAAGTCTGCTAGATGTAGATTCTGCATGTCCCACATGTACCATAATTTGAACAGTTTGTTCTTGTTTCCTGCTCTCACTCATCACAAAAACAGATGAGAATCACACATTATTGCTTCATAATATTAAAAGTAAATGCAGAGAGGGGTTAATTTATACCTTCCACAAGAGAAGTGAGAGCAGTGTTATGAAACATCTTGAGTGTTAATAATATTTGTCTTTTTATTTGCTTTGTTTCTCTGAGCATAGCTGTAGAAAGAATAAAAAGTAACCTTGGGCATTGTAGGAAATACACCACAATCCAAAAGTAATTCATAAAGCAGTTCTAATAAGGGCCCTGCGAATAGAGCATCTCAGCATGTTTCAGGAACAGGAAAAAGAAAGCAAGAAAAGAAACCTTCCCACTACAAAAATGTCAGTACTTGTGGAGCTAAAATTAGCAGGCTACTGCCTATAGGAACAGGTGTGTCCCTCTCAAACAAAAGAGGGATACCTTCATTCTACCTGATTAAAAGGGAGTTCTGTTATTAACCAGCTATGTCAGAATTTATTTCAATGGTAACAAATACACCAAAACAAATGAAAAAAGAGGGAGAGTTGGGCCTTATTCTTCTTTCTACAGGGGCTGATTGACCTGCTTGGACAATGTAAACCTTTTTACGGCATGTGAGTGAACGTTACAGTGAAGCACAGGAGAGTGGCCAGATGCTTGTCCCCATAGAAAGGACCATAAGGAGGCCATGTCAGGGGCATCCCAGCCAGAGCTGCCTGTACAGGCAGCAGAACTGCAGGATGTAGTCATTAGCTTTTGTCTGAGGACAAGGGTAGCACCTCTTCTTTATTCAGAAGAATACTTACATCCTATGCACGTTCGACATTGTAAACACTTTCTGTTTTCTTCCTGCCACAGCACATATTAAGGTTCAATACAACCAATATACATTTGTATTGAAAGATAGCACACTACAAAAATGCCTGTATCTACAGCACAATCACCCCTTTCCCTAAAGATATTTCCTTTTGTAACTAGAAGTCCTGTAAGCACTGATAACATGATAGAAATATTATAATACAAACATAAAAGTTGAAGCAAGTTTTATCATCCAACTCCAAGTATATGATTAAATTCAATACAACCTTGATTAGGATTTTGAATCTCTTTTCCCCTTTGTAAATCATTCTTTTTCTCTTGATCCCACATGGCCACCCCACCTGTAAAGAGCTGGCATAGGAAAATATTATCTCATGGAAACTCAAGCCTTCAGCAGCATATTTAGAAACTAATTAGCTTAAAACTCAGAGAATGTAGAAAATATTTCAAGGTTAACACATCTCCTTTCTTTCTTTCCTGACATTTTCCTTCTTTATGAAAGCTGATACTCCACACCATGCGTTTTGGTACTTTATCAGAATTACTTCCAAACAAGTTGGGTGATGACAGAAATAGTAATAAACGACTGCGTGTCAACAAGAGGGTTATTGGGTAAAGGGAAAAAGAATCTGTTACCTTCAAGCACACACCATACAATAATTTATTAAAGTGTCAGAAGGAAGCCTTTGAGGTAAAAATGAGCTGACTCAGAATTCTCTGATTATTGAAAATGAACCCTTAATAGAAGTAAATGGACAAGAACAAAATTTCCTTGCTGTGTTCGCCATTCAAAATTAATTGGAAAGTGGCTGATTTGAGAATATTATATCCTCTAGTGAACTGAAAATGCTGTATTTTTTTTTCTTCTGAAACCAAGAGTAGAGAATTAAATTAACTCTGAGGTTTGTTTGCTCAGAGTAGGCCACCAAAATGGATTAATTAATCATCATTTATGAATACTCTATAACATAGAGCAGTCAGCTCTTTATAAAAGTGCAAGAATAGCAGCATGACAGTAGAAGAGTTATAAAAACAAATTATAAATTTCCTCCATCTCTAAAATCTGTATCAACTTGCCTGACATTTTTCTCTGCAGTTTGAAAGCAAGTGTCCTGGTGAAAACATTTATTTTTTTTTATAAGAGGCCTCAGTTTAAAATGGTTGATTTACGCTTGTTCTGCAGCTCCGTGCACTGTGCAAGAAAGTCCTGGGCAGTAATTTTCACAGGGAATGTTAGTATTGCTCTGAGAGACTTTACCTTCCTGTGCCAGGAGATAATGAAGTGCCACATTAATGATAATAAATGTAATTCATTCATTTTTTTCCAAATACAGTCAGGGCCGGATCTTATTTAAGCACATCTATAAAGAGAAATGTCAGGGAAATAGTCATTTATGGATGCTTATCTAAACTAATAATATTTTTGACCATTATTTGCCATTAGCAGATACATGGGAACATTTATCCCAAAGTTTAGCCAGCTTATGTTTTAACTCATTGATTGGAATGATAGAGAGAAAAATGAAAAAGCAGTAATTAAAAAAAAGAAAAGCACTGTCACTAGGTCAGGCTACTATTGAACTTACTGAAATCCTACTGAAGTGAATAGGGCAGCTTTCGTCTTTGCCTGTCGTTCTGCACATGCTCTGTGGGTATTAACATGGACAGGCTCCAGAGCAATATGTTATGCACCTACAGTTCTAAAGGAAATAATTTGTTTCTTAAGGTGGTCAGCCCACCAACCTTAAAAAAAGTCCATGTTTGCTTCAGGACTAGTTTCAGCCTGCCTAGAAATATTGCCTCCCTTCAAACCTGCCAGAGTAATCAGGGAATATCACCAAGCAGAAAGATGACAAAATTTAACCTCAGATCACTGCAGGTGAAAGAAGTTTGACAGAGCAGTCCCAGATGGTCTTCAGTGTGTACACAGGGAGACCAGAGTCAAGCACACAGCTTGGCTCAAATGCAGTGTTTATAAATATTTAATACCGTTGTTATTAGCTACTTGGCAGCCTGGCCACTGCTGGCTCCCCTGGTTAAATGCTGTCTAGTTGTTTACACAAATTCCTGAGTAGCAGAGTCTTTTCCTCTGATCCAGGAATCACAACCATGCAGGTACTACACGGGTAGAGCAAATTCTTTTAATTATGTATCATCATATCCTCTGTGGTCTACATAACTGAGGTTCCAATGTTGTTTAAAACATAAGCATCATATTTAGATTTCTTCAAAGTATTTAAAAGCAGTTTATTTCCATTAAAATACAAAGTTAAACAGGGCAAAAAAAATCTGACTATTTTCCACTCTCACAAGTAAGAGGCGCCATAAGATATTCTGGAAATTCCAGGGAAAAGTAATTAGTTTTGCTGCAAATATATTTAATCTACACTAAAATCACTCCCTCCTGGATTTTCTGTAGTATTTATTTGGTACTAAAACATGTCATTATTTAATTAGGTATCAGACATTTAGGAACAAGCCTACATAAATACAGAGCAAAGCTGACCTTTCCCTAGAAATAAGGCCAAGCAGTAGGAAAACTTGGTGAGGGCAGAAGTAGCCAAGCCTGCAGGTGGTGGTGGCTCTGCCCTGAGCCCTCAGATATCACCTGTCACCTCCTCATACATTTGTGTATGACTCTGTGTAAAATATCTTCATCCATAACCAATCCAGCACTTTATTTAACCAGTGAATTTTAACATCACTCAGTAACCCTTGCCTGGATGTCCCTTGTCCTCTTTAGGCCTGCTCCATGTTGTAGAGCAGAGTTAGCAACATGAGTACTGCCTACAGCAGACCTCTCAAAGGCACTGCAGAGGACCTTGGGCTAACTCTGGTCCATGGTGGTCATTCCTCTGCCAGCTCAGGCCAGTCCTCCTGCTGCGATGGCGGTACTGTCAGGACAGCATTTGTGATATTAAGAGCAGCAAGGGAAAGCTAGCATTATTTCAGTACTGTAACAGAGAAACCTTCACCATTTTCTGTAGGTGCAGCCAGTTACAGTGGGATGTAGTTTGGTATCACAAACCGATGCCAAGGAATGGTCAAATTATTCATTAGCACAAAATAATTGAAGCTGAACTGATTTTTATCTGCAGAGGATTAGGACTAAAGGGGTTGACAGCCTCAACTGGTATTTTGTGGTTGCTTGATAGAAGTTAACAAGGTGTATGCAACATTTACTGTCAAGAAAATGAGTTATTGATAGCTATCTCCTTATACAAACTCCTTTGATTATCTTTGAAAGCTGAAGACCAAAACCACCTGAGACTTCTCAGAGCTGTTTCTTTGATGATACTTTTATTATTCTGTCAGAAATAGTTGATGTACAAATCTGACTCAAGACAATAGTACCTAAACCCTTTTTTATCTGGTTCATTTGTGTAATTTGAAGTTGAGTTTATTCTTGAGTCTGAACTGAACGGATTTGGTTTTTGAGAGGAAGTTTAAAGTCTAATGAAGTCTTTTCTATGTAAAAAAAGCAAATTATTTTACCATGAATTTCACTTAAAAATACAAATATTTCCTTTTAACAAGAGGACTAAATTGCTTTATACTTCTGTAAAGACTTCATGGGCCTTGCAGATGTAATTGGTAGCACTGCATTTGTGCAGAATTCATTAAACTTTGGCCACAATTAGATATACTGCTGATCACTTATATAAGTGTGACAAATGAACAGACATAAAAAAATCCATTTAGTTTTTCTACCCTAATGCAGCTATGCACTGATTGCATAAAATCATCAACAGCAGCAGTTATCTTCTCACAGGCTCTGAAAGTATGTCTTAATAGTAAAAAAATATTTAAAAATCACTTTTTTAATTGCAAGCTTTTGAATATATGATTACTGGAATTGAGCCTCCTAACTAGCTTTCTTTATAGAATCATAGAATTATTTGGGTTGGAAGGGTAAGACCCCATGCATCAAGGATACTGAAGATGTATATCATATGGGAAACATTTGCTGGATTGGAATATAGTCACAGTTTAGCCTTTATTTTAGAAGTGACACGGGTAGATACTAGAAATTAAAACAACAACAACAAAACTAAAACTCAAAACAAATACATTCTTGGAGGGAAAGGAACACAGGGTTTTTCCATCATTAATAAAGAATACATTTAATCATATCAACTGAATAATGAAAAAGTAGAAAGTGTTGCTGGGTAAATGAGAAACGATTTTGCTCTTTCAATAGGGAATGTTAAAACAATGTAGACACACTACAGCATTTGTATAGTTGTCCCAAGGCCATGTAGTGCCATTGATGAACAGAAGCTTCTCCTCCCATTGCTGAGAGCACTTTGAGTGGAATATAGCCTCCGTAATAAATACGGGCATGGGAAATAAAATGTTGTTCAATGTTTTTGTTTCCCATTCAATCAAAGACAAAAATGTCTCTTTCCAAACACTGCTTTTGTTGCTTTTAGAGATACCATGTTTGGAAAATATTTGATTATCCTGTCAAGAGTGCTAAAATATAAAAAGATGTGCAGAGTGGAAATAGAGTAAAAAGTAAAAAAGCGATTTTCAAGCATATAAATGATTTTGCTTCAGTAGCAGAAGGGTCATGAATATGAATAGTGCTGAATTCCAGAAAAACAATTTGTCATTATTAAAATTAGTGCTTTGTCAACACAAAAATATCACTCCTAGTTTCCTTTTTGTGCTGCTGCACAAACAGCTGCATTAAGGGCCCGAGTGTTCTGGGATTCATTATCAGTGAATGGGGCTCTGGCTCATAAGGTACAAGAAGAGTCTGTAATCCATAATAGGAGGCTGTCAGGATGTGAAATATATTAAACACTTGAAATTGAAAGAGGTATTTCTGTGGTCAGCCTAGCATAGAGCTATTTGGTATTAGTAAATGGACACTTGACAGTTTTGCATTTCTCAGCCATGACATCCCATTTACACATTCAGAAATACAACATGCTGCCATCTAGATCCAATTATGAGAGTTTGCTCTTGGAGCAACCGTACATTTTCTGAGGACAATGGAAAAAGACAGAATAACAAAATGCATTTTTCTCTGAAACATTCATGCAAGAGAGGAGCAGAGAAGAGCAGTAAATATGCTACTGCATTTCTACAAGAACAGGATTCTTGCACTGTATTTCCCAACATGTCTTAATTTTGCACAAGGTTGAGCTATCCCTCTGTTTTACTTTGCATGCATTAATTCCTACCTTCTTGCAAATTTTATTTGAGGTGCAGAAGCAAAGGAAAAAGTTGTCAAAGCCAGCGAACAAGAAGTTCCTTTTAGAGGAGCAGGATCGGCACAGAAGACCTATCTTGGGTCCTGGGCTTTGCAGCAGCAGGGTAGATGGACAAGTAGAAGGAAGGGACCTAAGAGGGAACATTGCTTCTATTTAATTATTGAATGGCTGATAGGACGAGGTGGAGCACTATTCTACATAAGTTTTGCAATCTATTTTTTCATTCCAAGTGCTAGATTGATGGACAGGCATGGTTTCAAATATCACCATAAAGGTATCAGCCAATATTTGGTTCCCAAGACTGGATAGACATCCTCGAGTCTGGCCAGGAGCACCAGTGAGACTGGTTGGGTTGCACTTCAGCCGGAAGTTAGAGCACTAACAATCCTTTTTCCAGCAATTTCTGTTCTAGCATGTGGTCATGTGTTATTCTCAAGGAGAAACAAGAAGTTTTGTGCTAATTTTGTAATTGTTTTAATTAACTAGGATAGACAGCAAGGACACCAGTGGCTATGTAGCACAGGCTCCTGAGGAACAGAGAGGAAGCAACCTTATTTAATATCAACTCCTGTACAAATCGACACAACTGCAGGTTTCACTGAGGCTGGAGGGATGCACACAAACAGGGCAGGGCTCACCCTCTGTCTTCCAAAGACACAGCTTTGATGGGAAACATCAAATACTCCAGCACTCAAAGCTGCACGCGTAGCGTAAACTAAATTCTGTAAACAATGCATACACAAAAAAGGATACAGTTTTTAAAGCAATTATGTTCTGGTTTTAGATGTCACTTTACTCTTTGACATTCAGGGTAGGTGCTTCCTGGTGGTCGCACTTACTAAACAATTTAAGCCTCTGAAAACACAGCTAAGTGGCTAATGGTATTTTCATAGCTACCTGGCTAGTGCTGGGCAGTCTGAAAATCCCATTAGAGGTCAACACTTGCTGTAAACTTCCATTTAATGCTAGGTCCACACTGCAGAATCTACAGTGGCTTGCAGTTCTCTGGGATGATCAAAGACAAATATTATTTTCAGTCTTGGAGCAGACTAATATTCTTATGCCCTCCAGGAACAGGTAGCTAACCTTCATCCAAAAATCTGCTGGTATGAAAATGGGACAAAATAACAGGTGAGCTTTGCAGCAGTAGTTTCTCTGCAAGATGCTGAGATTATTCCAGCATAGTAGCTGCAAAGCCACAGACAAGAAGTTTGGAGGCGAGTCTGAACATAAGCCAATGTGGCAGAGCAAGGGTAGCTGAGGCTGCACAGTTCTGAGCATACCTGAGGTCATATCTACAATTGTAAAAACACCTATTGACTCCATCTCCAGGTATGCTACTGTAAACAGACACTCCTGATGTTTTTAGGATGTGGCACTTAGCTACATACGTTGTGCTTAGCAAAAGTAGATTGTTAATGAAAAGGAAAAAGGTAAAACTTCTAAATCTAATCATCATTATACTCTGCGTTTTAAACCAGAAGCCTTCACCCAGCACTTCACAGCTACACAGTAACACAATATTGCTGTGAGTACGCTTATTGGTCAGACTTCATTAGCTTTGTGCAATGCTTCTGCTGGGCTCTCTGACAACGATTTTCACTCTCTTTTTGCCCATTAATAAATTAAACTTAGCAATTGTTAAAATAAAAAAGTTTCTAAATATACATGTTAGTTAATTAGGTATGTTTTAATGTAGCTGTGAGTGGTTTTAGTTAGGACTGTACTGAGTACTTACAGGATGAAATAAGCCTCTATAGTCTACATTAATAGCTGGAAAGGGCTGGGCATATGGAGAAAGTGCACAAACTCTCTGATTACTGAATGCAGTTTCTGTGCCCTTCAAGAGATCTAACATGATTTATATTCCAATAATTTTGAAACAAGCCCTTTGTATTTCCCTACTAGCTAATCTAGGTTTCATTTTATGTATATAAACACAAATGTGCATATACAGACATCACATGTAGAGAATATGCTGTATGTCTATGTCTTTCTGGATATAACTGATTTTAAAAAGCTCTGAAAACAAGAAGCAGAGAGAAAAATGGCTTCCACTCAAAGGGAAGAAAAACGGGTATTCATCTGATCCTGCTTGGAAATACATCAGGAGTCGCCTGTTCCCTGCTGGAGCAGCTGCCCTGGCCCTGCGTTTTGGGAGTCGCTGCTGACTTTTCCACCCAGGAAGAGCTGTTTCCATATTTAGCTGTCTCAGGTCAGACCAGTTCAGGCTTGTTAATAATTCACTGACCAAATATTATGACTTAGAAGCAGAGGAGCTGATAAATATCCAGATACAGAGCATAGCTTCTGTTGGATCTGTCAGGTGGAGGAGTTGTAAAATACTCTTTCCCCCCTCTGCCATCTTAGTCTAATGGAAATAATATGATTTACCAATCAGAAAGACCACCACACAGGTGGTCTGAGAAATTTAGGACCACTGTTCTCCTAACTCCTTTTTTTTTAGAGAGAGAAATTGCAGATCGTTGTGGATATCTCTGAAACGGTAACACAGAGCAGACAACAGAAACCAGAAGAAAAAACCCCATTAAAATAGTAAGATCACAATTTCCACAGCCTGTGTGTCACATCTCTTTGTTCATTCCCGTTTAATACAGATATAAATAATATGCTCCCAGAGGTACTGCATGGGTCACCCTGGGCAGGGTAGACCAGCCCAGCGGCAGGCTCCCTGTAGCCAACCTTGCCCCACACACTGCACAGCAGCTCTAGCCTCTCTGACTGGGCCACTGGGTCTTACACAGACCTGAATAGTTACAGCACTGAACAAAAAGCAGGACTGAAAAATAAATGTTTTACATAAACACATTTACATTAAAAGTATTCAAGGTAGATCATGCCAAGGACTTTGGCCCTTAAAACTCCTACCCATTGCTTATGGTAGAGGCAACATGCATTAACTTCTCTCCCTAAGTGGAGGACAGGTTTAAGAAAGGGATTCCCATGGACTTTAACAAATAGCTGGGGACAGCATTTTTCTTAGATGCAAAAAACATTATACAAAAAGCTCTGCCCCTTCCAACTGAACCTCACGGCAAGTCTCTTCTTCCAAATACAGACAGCCCTCCAACAGACATGGAGGTGGATCAGAGGTTATCTTCCATTAGCCTAATGGTTAATTCTTTATAATCACACCACCTCTCTGTGTTTAAGTTTTGTCACCAGCAAAATTTAAATCTCAGAATTCCCCTTTTTGTGGAAGTCTTTGAAAGCCATAGCTAAAAAGCCACAGATGGTTCTTATCGGCTTACAATAAAGTGGAGGATTAAAAAATAATGAAAAATAATGCTTCTGTAACAAAAGGACACTGCTTACAGAAAAGGGTTAGTGATTTTGAGAAAGACTTTTTACATGGTGTGAGAGGGAGGCAGCAACCGAGATCTGGAATACAGGGTGAACGGCAGAAAGAGAAAAGAAAGCAAAGTTTTCCTACCTATGCCTTCAGCATTCTGTACCCTTCACATCTCTCAAAATACGAGTGATCACAGCAATGGAGACAGAAGGAGAGATGAACTGCCAAAGCTAATAAGATACTGCATCACTACAAACTACATCCTTTGAACACCGCTGTCCTGCAAAGTGTCTGTGTGCTGGCGCATATGAGGGTACACAACTACAAACAAGTAACATACAACAAACTTCATTTCACATATTGTGCTGACTATAGATTGTATATTGTCACAGCAAGGGATTTTACTCAGTACCTTCCTGCGATTGTTTAACATACATTGCTTATGCTAGTTTAACCTTAAGAGTAATGAGCTGCAGACAGAGCCCTTTCCTCAGCCTCAGGAATTTGAAACAATTTATTGCCTTTGTACCACACCATCCTGCCTCCCTCCTAAAAGCATTATCCCTACCTTGATGAAGTGCTGCTTGCACTGTTATCGTCAGTCTGTGTGATATAGCTTTCTTTCTGTCATATACAGTATGGAAACAGGGTTCTTTCTCTTTTATTCACTAGTTTTACTCAGAGAAGTGTAGGAGGGAACAGTACTCAGTTTTCACTGGTTTCCTCACTGCTACCCTCGAGGCTGGTTCTGAAGCCTTTCTGTGTCCACCAAAAAAAGCACATCAAAGCAGTGCAAGTGTTGTGTATTGCAGCGCCAGACACAAGGCACACAGCAGCATTCTGCTAGCTCAGGACACTCCTAGGCTATTGCATTTTCTGTGTTTTGATACAGCAGCACTAAAACACACTTTCGTGTTCATCCATGCTGTAAACATGACAGTTAATACCTATCTCCTATTCTTTCAACTGATTTGAAGATAGATGGCAAATAATTAGATATGGGTTTATCCTATGTATAATGCATTATATTTGAGGTTTTTTAACTTCAGATAAAATCCATGGAGCAAAAGAAGTCAGGAGAGGTATCTAAGGCATGTTGACTCCATAAGGAGTCACCAATTGGAGCTTTTGGACTGAGCAGCAGCCTAATGAAACTCTTAAAGTAAGCTAAGATCCATCTCCTGTAAGTACCCTTTTACATGAAAAAACTTGTCCAAATTCAAGTGTAAAAAAGCAAAAAGAGCAAGTAGATTTACTTGCATAGTTTATTTGCTTCATTAATATTAAATTACTGCAATAATATTAAATGTCATTGACAGACCCTTTAGCACTTCAGAGACATGATGATATTCTCTATCAACATTTCCTATAAACATTTTCCTTTTCATAATTTTAAAACAGTTTGTAGGAAGCACTTTTCACAGTTTTTAGGACCTGAACTCTAAATTAGAAAGGGTGTTTGTGTTGGGGTTTATTTGAGAGGTGGGGGAGAAGGTCAGTAGACTGGAAACCCAAAGAAGATTTATTACCTTGCTTATAAGTTTCGGGGGTTCTACACAGGCACACACCCAAACTTCAGGGCAATTTTAGTGTTCATTCCAGTTACGTAAAATGCTTTCAGTCATAAAATGCATTGGCACTGAAATCCACAGTCAGGCCAACAGAAAAAAAACTTGCAGTTGCCAGTCTGTGCTCAGCAGAGGCTCAGAACAGAATAAAAGTGAAGAATAAATTATCTTCTGAGAAATAAACTGGGCACAGCACAAATGCACACAAATGGGCCATAAGGGACACTTTTTTCTAAGCTACATCCATCTTCACCTTATAGAAGTACTAAAGGCCTAATAAATAATTTAATAAACTAATGGACATGTTTTTAAACATTGTGGGCTGATGCCTAAAGAAATGCCATATTTGAAGAGCAAGATGGTGGAAGTGGAAAGCTTGTGGCTTTTTCTCCTGTGGTTGCTTTAAAAAGCAGAACACTGTGGTACGCTGTGGATGCTCTACTTTTGTCAGCGGCTCTTTGTTCTGCTAGAGCTCAAGCCTAGGACCACAAAACAACAAAATACTAAAGGGTAAACTTCACGTGGTAGCACAGGTTTGTTTTAGAAAGCTCTTCATATTCGGCAGGAATGGATCAGTAATAACAACCTTCCTGAGAGATGCCTGGGCAGTTTGCAGCCATTTTAGGCATGGGGGTCCTAAGTTTTGAGACTCAGCTTTTCCCACCAGTTGAGCTTCTGAGGAACATGGTTGCCACCTAGTTGAGACATGTTTGCAGGGCTTGAACTCAGGGACCAGGGTGTCAGTACAGCCTCCCTCATTTCCCAGCCATTGTCTCCCCCTGGCAGAGAGAGCATATACCTTGACATCTTCAAGATGCCAAATTTACACTTCAGGCCTCAAAGAACTGCAGCCTAAACATTGTCCCCTATGCCTGGGTTGTGCAAGACATCACTCAAACTACACCCAGCTTCCCTCAAGGCACAGGGAAAGGAAAAAAAAAAAGCCCACTGACTTGAGCATACACCAGGGGCACTAGAAACCCAGAGCTTCTGCTGCAACTCTCAAAGGAAGAAGGTGACCAGACTACCTCTTCTCCTACTGCCTGCACACCACTGTATGAGCTCACACCCAGTACCACTAGCTTCCAGTTGTGTTGTCAGTTCCCATTCCTAGTCATCACCTGGCCATAGATATATATCTATCTATAAAGCAAGCAATCAAGCTGTGAATCAGGTGTCCTCACTGCTGATGATTAATCTCTTCAGATTCAGGTATTCAGAGTCCAAAACATGCATTGCTTATACCCCCATCCCTGCCTGTAAACCTGCATCCTAGCTAGGGAATAACACTAGTGGTTTTGCAGACTGGTTATTGCTTATGCCAGTCTTCAGGCACCAAGCCCTCCCAAGCCTTTATGACCCGGTTACCCAACTAAGATAAGGCACAAAAAGGGGAGGAGACAGAGTGCTGAGTCTATGTCCCTTTTCTGAGCCCAAACCCAATGGCAAATGGGTCTGTGGTCTCACAAGGGGCACATGAACTGGCTGTGTAAAGTGAGAATGTAAAACACTGTCAACACATCGGGAATCTGATCTTCCATGTGCTAACACCCGCTGTTCAGGGTGGTTTCTTCTTATCATGAAGGGCCTGGCTCAGGCTGTTTTTCTCTTGGTCTCAGGTGTTCAGTGTGGCATGAAGGGACACTTCCTTAAAGGTCATCCATAAATCCTTTCTATATGGAGATATTTTAAACCTCACATGGAGGAACACTTCATGTGTAAGGACACTGAAGATACTGCCTCTGTGTGGATTCTTCACCTCTCCTGTAAAATTCATAGCCGCGTTAGAAAAGAAAGTGAAAATCCACCACATTCAGGAGTTCAATGTAACCAACATTATACCTCTAATTTTTTACTTCACATCAAGGTCTCCTTGATGCATGATATCTTTATTAAGGAGGGCACTGCCTGACATGTTGTTCTGTTTAATTGCCATGTTCACATTAGTTAATTTGTACTTTTTGCAATCTGCTGCATATTGATTGTCAGCTTCAGAGATGGTGCTGAAAAAGAATAATATATACTGTTTAGTTACCACAATGGTGCTATTTCTTGATAACAGTGTAATTAAATTCCAACGTCATTGCACATCCTATCCAAGGCCAATGTACTGAGTAAAACAATCAAGTAACAACACTCAGTTTGATAGCATCTTCATAAAATTAAATAATGAAAATCTACAGAAGAACCAGGCCTTTGCAGCCATGAAACTGTGTTTGATCACCTCATATAAAGAAAATACTTGGAAATACATTCTTCACATTATTCTGACAAATTCCCTTTAAGCATCTGAAAGAAATTATGAGATCTACAAAGTAGTGGCCATGTAAAGGAGAACCATAGTAAGGCTGATAAAAAGGCAGAAGTCATATTGGCTTTAAGGAGAAATCAACGACAGTGATGTTTAGCTGAGATATTACTAGTCAAAAAGACTTGAATTTTTTATATTTCAGAACTTACTTACCTACTTACAGCCATGCCATTTTAAACAAACTAGCCAACCCTGCATTCAGAGAAGACAGCATGTTAGTCAGATTTTCAAGTTAATTTTAAAAATAGCAGCTCTGAAACTAAACGTTGCCTACACGCCTGAGGAGCAGAGAGATGGCTCTCTTGGAGATGCCGTGGTGATGGGAACTCCTAACCAAGGCAGATGCTTGCCCAGGGATGAGGAATAGTGAAGAAAACAGGAGGCATGCAAGTAACAATTTTTATGTTGTTTGTAAAAAGTAATTAAAACAGAAGAATTAAAAAATCTCCAAAAACATCTCTTGAATACCAGTCCATGGGGAGTCCATGAATGAATACATTCCTTCAGATAAGAAGGGGGATTTTAAGGAAATGGTGTATACATGACAAGTTTGAGATTTGACCCTCACAGAGAGGCTAGGAAGTGTGACTAGTTTAACATTTTCATCTTCTTTCGTTTTTAGGTGGGCGAGAGAGAGTTTGGCAAAGGTCCTGGGAGGCCCTGAGCCTGCCCTTCCAGCCAGATTCTGCCATCTCCTGTGACTGAAAGGTTTCTCTTTTCTCCCAGATCAGCATCTTCATGACCCATTTGTCCAATTACGGGAATGACCGCCTGGGATTGTACACCTTTGCAAACCTGGCCAACTTTGTTAAGAGCTCGACTAACCTGAACCTGCAGACACTACCCCCAGTTCAGCTGGCTCATAAGTACTTTGAGCTCTTTCCAGAGCAGATGGACCCTCTTTGGCAGGTATTGTCACATTCTCTTCCTCCTCCCCTTACAGTAAACTTGTCGAAATAAGAATCTTTTCCTGTAAAAATAAAAAAATACAAAGCACACTTTACATTCAGATATTATATTTCTTCTTGCATGCCTTCTTAGATTACTTAATTTTTCTTAAGAGACTACTGCTTTTGGCTAGAAATCAATTACCTTCCACCCACACAAAATCAGGCATGTTAAAAGCACCTAACTGCCATTTATATGAGAGAAAGCTTCCCTCCCCATCCCTCCTGTCTGCAGTTTTGTTGATGCATCATGTTGCATTAACTAGCCATGCTGCATTAACTAATTGGGTTGCACTCTCAGGAAGACACATGCAGACAGCTGGTAGTAAGAGCTATCTGACAGCAAACAACGCAGATTCATTGTGCCCATTAATGGGGAATCACTAATGTTGGATCATGGCAACTACAGGAAGGATTTCCCATCATCTGCACCCCCTTCAGTGAAACAGCAAGGAAATGGGAGGGCAGGAGTGGTCAGAGCAGCAAGCTCAGGTAGCAGAATGGGCAGCTATTTTAAGAATGGAAAAGGGTTTCTGCACAGATGGATTATTTTCTGTCTCTGTTTCAAATGCACAATAGTGTTGCTTGTAATCTCAGCACTGTAATTTCCTAATCATTGTTACACATATCTGGCTCTTCTCTTATTCAGAATGTGATGTGCCACACTGTGCTTTTAGCTATGCAGGCATAAATCCAGAGTGACACCATGGAGATCAGTGCGGTTATTTCAGGCTTACGCTCGTAAAAAGAAGCAGAAAATTTCCGTTTTTTATGGCCCGGGTGCAAAAGAAGTATAAATCTATAATATTTCGATTGAATTTAGCAGAGCTGCAGTGATTCGCAACAGTTAACGATTTTCTCCATTACATTTTTTTAACGTTATTCACTAGCAAACTGTATCTTCTATTACCAGCCTATACTATGCAAAAGCAGTGTCTATATGATAATTGGTTTAAAGAACAGTCAGTCCTAACCTTTTTTGTGGGGTCTTTTGTGCACACATTTTTAATTTGCATTCATAGGTAGTAGAAAGATAAGCAAATTAATAATATCCTACATTCTCTTTTGTCCTTTCTTTTGGCTTCTTATGTAAATTAAAATTGGCACTAAGTCCTATGCATCTGAACCCATTTTGTCACCTGAGAAAGTAATGCCTTGAAGCTATTCAAACAGAGGTTTCCATTTTAACCTCAAATGAAAACTTGATTAAATCAATGTTTTAATCTTTTTTTATCCTTTTTATTTTCTTTTTTTTTCCTAATGACTGAACTTAAACCTCAGTCATGCAAAACCATTATAAACACATTGAATTTTAGTTAAAGGGAACACATATGTACGTACCTATGTGCCTGTGGACTCTGAGTTTATGAAAGGAGCCTGACTATCAGAGAGAAGAAAATGCAGTCTCACTGAGTGTGGATTTTGACACCAAACCAATCCTTCCAGGAGTTGCACAGCTGTGTAGTGTTACTGGCTTCACTGTAAGGATAGTTCCTGAAGGATACCCAGCAGTTTGGTCCCTGTGTACCTGAATGCTCAGTCTAAATGCTTCCTTGGATCCATACCAGAGTACTCATTATCAAGAGAAATGTGGTATTTTATAACTTGCTGTAAGGCTCTGACGTTAGCGCATAACATTTAGATCCTGCAAAGATTCATGTGCATGGAAAACATTTAGGATACCCCTGGCATGATGTACACAGCCACCTTTTTTCTTCTTCAGAATCCATGTGATGATAAAAGACACAGAGATATTTGGTCCAGAGACAAAACTTGTGACCATCTACCCAAATTTCTTGTGATAGGACCCCAGAAAACAGGTAAGAAGTAATGAATTTGTAACCTAAACTAGGCTCCCAGTTTTGTATCTGTGTGCATGTGTCCTGTAAGCCAACTACAGAGATGGTGCATTCTTGAACTCTATGAGGTTCAGATAGGAACACCTTCAATGCCTGCAGAAAGGGGCAACTGTACAGTAAATTTGCATTCTCTTTCCACTACCAGCCACCACTAACACATGTCTTCCAACAGAGTAGCACCAAAACTTTACAGCGGTCTCTATTCTTATATATATTATTACTCCTTCCTGATGCAGCCACTTCCTGGCGATTAACAGCCTCTGCACACACCTGTGTCATGTGCTGATTGCTTTATCAGATGCTGGGGGATGGCTGTAGACAAGAGTAACAAACCGAGTTGAACCACTTTGCTGATGATCTCCATTTGAGGGTTTTTACACTTTCAAAGGCAGTTGATACAGGCCTTTGAGAGAGGAAGATGAAAAGAGTTGTACAGCAGCCAGGTCACTGTATTGTTGTGTGACAGCTGTATACATCTAATTTCGCTATGGAATTTAGCTCAGTGGTAATAAGAATAAGCAACAGAAATCCAAATAAATATTCACCATAAAAAAACAAGCTGTGCCCTATGTTAATTTTGCTATTAAGTTATTTGACAAATTGTTTCAACATCATCTGAGACTCTAATAGACAATAAATGTATTTACCACCTGGCAGGGCTCTGAGGGTCTCAGGGCATTTTTTAAACTAAGCCACATGTTCTCGCTCCCAAGATAGCTATTACTGTTGTGGACATATTACAGAAAGTGAATGCTGAGGCAGGGAAATAAATGACTAATCCAAGATTATATAGAAATTCTATGATAGTGACAAAGAGGCAGCACAACTTGATTCAGAGTCCGATGATTGTTTACATAGCATAAAATCATTGAAGAGCAATTTGAAAGGCACATTCTCCAATATTTTCCTTACCATCATATATCATTTCCAGTTGTTTCTGTCAAACAAATAACAAAAAAGTATTGTTGCCAGGATTTTAAAGCATACTTATTACAAGCAGGTTTGTTGGCATTGAAATAGACAACATCACTTGAAAGACTTTTTATTCCTCAATAGAAGACTCCCAGGAAAAATAGAGGACAAAAATGTGGTTTTGGGAGCAATAAAAGCATAATCCCATGATTAGTGCTTTTGAAAAGTTTCATGCAACATAAATAGTTGAAAAACAAACATATTCAGGTCAAATTCCATGACTGGTTAAATAAACAGTCAAACACTGTCATCAACAGCAGTCTCATGCTTGCATCAAAGAGTAGAATTTAGAGTTTAGAAATGGGAAAAGTTTAATGAGCACAGAAGTCTGCACATGTTCCCTGCTCCTTCTGAAAGCTCCTTGTGCTTACACATGCGTTTCATCAATAGGCAACTTTCTTGTAAAAGGTAATCTTTATAATTTTCCTGTACATCCCAGTTTGTGTTGATCTAAAGTACTTTCTTAAATGAATAAACTTAAAGGGTTTTTTTCTGTTTCCTAATGGCATCTCTTTTTGTTGTCATAGGAACAACAGCACTTTATTTATTTCTTCTGATGCATCCTTCCATTATCAGTAATCTCCCCAGTCCAAAAACTTTTGAAGAAGTTCAGTTCTTCAATGGAAACAACTATCACAAGGGAATTGACTGGTAAGAAGTGTTCATTATTAATACATGGTAAATCACAATGGAACAATTACAGAATCATGTATGACATCTACATAATTACTAGATGAATTTGTTATGCTTGGCATTATCAGACATAAAGAGAAACTAATTTGTAATGATGGGACACTTAATCAAGTACATAATTTTGTTTAGATATTGCAGTAATAAAAATTTCTTCAATTTTTCACAAATTAATACAATAGCCAGCTCAGTTGTGATGTCTGTCTTCATGCTGAATAGCATCTGTCTTTTCATAACTGTATCTATACTGAATTATACTCTTTTTCTTCAAAAGTGGCTTTTCATGAAGTACGTTTTTGTCTCTTCATGAGAAAAATAATCCACTGTAAAGAATTTCAGCTAGTATTCCTATCACAATTTCAAATATTGTTTTAATATTTTTACTTCAGAAAAGCATTTTTGAAAGGCTTTCATTTCCACAGGGAGCAGCAGTTCTCATCCTTGTATGAAAACTAAAGTATAAGACAAACATGAAACTATACAGAAACAGATTAATCTTGGTTTTCATTGCCCGTATGAGGCATGGAGAGCGTGTGGAGCAAACAAGGCTGACCAATAAAAGTAGGTTGTCACCACAACTATGAGATCAGCTTCTCAGTTCAAGGTGTCATGAAAAATAAAGGGAAATGAATACTTGGCATTTGTTTTTAATACTGCGTAAAGAAAGAGATCACGTATAGTTATCATAGAGTATATGGTGTAATACACAGGAGAAGAAGCAGGAAGAGCAGAGATGAGAAGGGCTTGCCCGCAGTGTGGCAGGGGCTGAGGTACCAGGGAGTCCCGTGTACCACTCCTTCTTCCCTAAAAAACCCCATGAGAGAGCAAGTTCCCACCACAGCCTCTCCCTCTTTAAAGGCAGTGGTCATGGGGATGTCTCCTCTGCAGTCCTTTGCACAAAATGTAGAGGAAGAGACCGGCCTCTCGGAGACCTCCTCTGCCACGCTTCATTGACACTGACCTGCACTTTAGAACTCAGTAGCGTTGTGTGCACAAGGTGAGGCCGTGCATACTTATTTTCCAGAAAAAGGAAAAAAAATCAGCCTCATCAAAACTGGAAGTTCCCAGAGTGCTTAACAAAACTAAAGAGACTGAAAAACACCTCCAAAACAATTTCACCTTTTGCCTCATTTGAATTCTTTACCTTTTAAACTGAAGCTTCTGTTTTACTTCTTTTTACTTCCAATAAATTTTAAATGGAAAAGAGCATTCATGTATAAGAAAAGCTATGTCAGTTCCAAACTGAAATATTTCAACAATGCTAAAATTAAATAGTTGGTTAAATTAAATAGTTATATTTCCCCCTTTTTTTCTGAAACTAAAACTGAACTCACTCCAAACTGATGAAAGGTATCCCTTTGACATGGAACATATTAGCAAAAATCCCATCCATCAAAGGAAAAACCCAAGTACCTGACTTCACAGAGGCTTTAGCTATTACCTTGCATCATGTCAGAGCCAAGATATGTTTCTCCTATTCCAGTTCTGGAGTGAGCTGAGAAATTCAATTTTACTTCTTAAGAATTATGTCTGAAAATCCATCTTTTCACCTGCTGTGACATAGGAAGCACAGGGACATGACCTTTTGGGATACTGCTAATTCTAACTAGTTTCTTCACCTCCCAGGTACATGGATTTCTTCCCCACTCCTTCCAACATCACCACTGACCTCCTCTTTGAGAAAAGTGCCAACTACTTCCATTCTGAGGAAGCCCCTAAGCGAGCTGCTTCCCTCATCCCCAAGGCCAAGATCATCACCATCCTCATTGACCCATCTGATCGGGCATACTCCTGGTACCAGGTACAGATCTTGCCTTCGAGAAACAGAGAGTGAAATCAATTGCAGAGGATGATGGCCAACATCAGCAGCAATCTGTGTCCTTGAGCAAGAATGGGGATTTATTGCAAAGCATTTGTACTGTGTAGAAGGGAAAGGATGCTGAATGCCAGCTTTTGCAGTTGGCACCTGTGACATCAGTGTCATAAATGATGAAACTTCTCAGCACAGAGCTGCCACCAGCTGTAAACAAACAGTTTAATCTCAATTACAGCTGACACTGCATAGAGGAAAAGCAGCGCTCCTCGCCCAGGGAGATCCACAGGGAGAAATGTGCGTGGCCTAGCTAGAAAATCAGAGCTCAATGCTGAGAATCTGGTACCTCATCTTGTCCTCCAGCTTGTTAACTGAGCAATATGCAGTGGTGTACAAATGTATCCAGTGATTTCTAAATTTTCCAAGGAGTTAAAAGGTGCTGTGTCTGGGAAGTATTATTTCTTCTCTCCTTGGAAACAAAAGGAAACTCTAGGATGCTCTTTATTGCCTTTTACTGAGCCCACACCTATCCATAACAAAATCTACACTAGGTTTTTAAAGGCATGTTTAAAAATGCATGCAAAATATGGCATAGTCACTCAAATAAAGGAAACACTAAAAACGGTGTTAAAACAGAATATTGCAAAAAGCATTTCTGATACTGTTCTTATGAATTCTGCAAAGAATAAGATGTGGCCTCAGGATGCAGTTTGTATCCTTTTTAGTACCTCATTTGCACCTTTACAAATGTCAATTTGATATGCAAAGCAGTAAAAAAATGCGCCTATTTTGACAGATTTTTGGCTTCTCAGCTCTCCTCCTGCCTGTCCCAGGAGGGTCCTTTTCTGAATGGTGGCCCCATCCTGCTTCCTGGGCCCTCCTGCTCTTATCTGGCAGAAGTGGCACTCGTGGGGAGCCAAGAGACTGCTGCAGGCTGCAGCTGGGCTGGCAGTGCCAGGTCAGCCCTCCCGATGGCTCTTGATGGCTCCCACTCAAGTGACAGCCCTGCCCAGGGCAGGCAGCTCATTCAGCATCTCAGGAAATCACGATTGCCTCTACTTTTCAAACTAACTCCCTCGATTATCCAAAGAGTTGATGTGGTGCCAGGAGAAAGTTACCTCTTCACAGCAGAGACAATAATACGTATTAAAACTAGAAGTGATCTTCTAGCCTGATACATGTAATATGCCCATGCATCTCCAGCACACGGCTCTGGCATGAAGGACACAGAAGTGTAGAGCAGGGTAAGGCGCAGCCCTTCAGCTCTCAGAAGGTTGCAAGCTCTTAACTAAGCACTTCAAAAGGAGAGTTATAGGGCATATTTGAAAGGATGCCTTTAGTATGCATGTTTTTGCTCTTCATGGGAGTTAGAAGTACCAGAGCAATTTGCTTGTTCCCTTTTTTCTCTTTGATTATTGCTTAATCTTCAGCGTCCTTGTGACATGTGTCTAAATATCTTCCATTAGCATCAGCGATCCCATGAGGACCCCGCTGCCCTGAAATTCAATTTTTATGAAGTCATTACATCAGACCACTGGGCACCCCCAGAGATAAAGACTCTCCAGAAGAGATGCCTGACACCAGGATGGTATGCTGTCCATATCGAAAGATGGTTAACTCACTACCCTGCTTCACAGGTAATTTCTAACCTGTTGTCTCACCAAGCTCATCACCTCTCAGAAAGTCTCAAAATTAGTATGGCCTCATCATTAGGGGTGATAGGAAATGCAGTTTTGGCAAAATCAGGATATTTGGCAGAAGTGTGTTGATTTTATTGTCTTCTGATGGAAAAAATGTAACAGGAAAATACCATGAAGTGTGGCCACATGGGCTTGATGGGGGACATTGGGGCTTCCTTCCAGGATCAGTCAAGTTTGTCAAGGCTTCTGGGTCCCAAGAAGCAAGCAGCTGCAGCCTGAGACACTGTGGGAAGGTTTGACAAGTTCATTATAAAATGCCAAAGCTTTTTCTAAAAAGAAATTTCATTCCGCTTCCCACTCACTCCCTTTCATAGAAAATTTCACGTTTGTTTGATCCTGATATGGAATTAGCCTTTCTCAATGTTAAAGCAGAAATTCTTTCTTTTGCCTGGTCTTCCTTCAGACCTTTTATTGAACTGTCTTTTATAATCTTTTCCATGAAAAATTTATGTAAACATATAGACATCGGGAATATTCCCATTTCTAAAAATAATTGTTTTCGGATATAAACCTAAAGCATATATTTTAGTACTACGAAATATATGCATGAGCACTTGTTACCCATGGATATGGTCCATAGCTCAGTTCATCTGTCTCCCTATTGAAAGAAAAAGTTGTAAAAGTATATTTATTGAGCAAACATAATAAACAAGTCTCTCCCAAGATTGCTCTATGTGGAACTGGATTGTGCTGAAAGGAGGTAGAACTCAGTTTTGTGTACTTAGTCAGGGACCTGGAAAAACAAAAAGAAATGTAAGCTCTGTCTTTTTGCAATCTTTAGTTTTCTTTTTATACAATCTCAGCTGTACTACAAAGATGAGAAGCAGGTCAATCCCATTTCCAGCAAAAAGAAGAAAAACTCAGTCATTTACTTTCTTTTTTCATCTCTGGCCTTTCTACTCTTTCATAAATGGGAAGGGAGTACTATCTAAATCAGCTGAGCTTGCAGCGAGGGCGCTCCCCAGGTAGTATTGCCCTAGGAGCAACAGCACATCTCCTCATTGACCACCACTTCCCAACTTACTCCTCTGAAGGAGAAGGGGCTGTCCTGGCAAATCCAGAGCAAATAAAGGGTGCTGAACATCCCATGCCCTCTTACCTGTGCTCTTAGTTTGCCCTCACCCTGGGCTGCTGCCCTCTGTCACGAAGATTGCTTTCCTTCTCCTGCTGTAGTGAAAAGCAAATGCAGCCCTCTTATTAAACATGCAGGGGCACATTGACATATTTCTTGTAAAACTGGTAACCACTCATGTTTCATAGTTATAGTGATTAATTTTACAAGATACACAACAAAATGCACTCATTCTTAATAAGGTGCACAGAGAGAGTGCACTCACAGTGCTTACTAATGGGCACTCAGTAATGTGCATTCACTCGGCCTGTGCACTCAAAAACTTAATAATTCATAATAAGCCTTCACAATAAATATAAAACATGCCCATCCAGAATACTTATTAGTAATACTGCTTTGTACTCCAGTAAACTTTTGATACATTGTCTTAACATTTGCTTGTCAAGGTCAATGTACCTTTACACCACATCAATCTTTAATTAAAAACAAAACAAAACAAAAAAAACCCCTTTGCTAGCAATTTTGCGAATTTTACATGGTCAATAGACTCGTAGTAAGTCTTAAATAAATTGCCACCATTTCACTTTGAACATATAATTGTATAGTTTCTGAACATTTAATTCTAAGATATACATAAACTTTTTGTTGTTTTTCTTATTGCATGCCGGATTTTCTATGGACACATTGTAAACCTCTGCAATATTTTTACATTCCATCCTTACCTCTTTTTCTCAGAATTCTCTGAGTTTCTGGGTTTCTCTTGTGAGATTTAACTCTTGCATTTGAGCAACATGCACACACCAAGCTACAGGGTGCCCACCTACACAAATTAAAGATAATAAAGTACAAAAGTAAACTTAAAAACGAGTTCATCCATATGATTGTTATTAACACTATACAAAGTCACAAGCAAATTTAAATTCATGTTGTCACAAGTAAGGTCACAATAAGAAAAGAATGTCATTCTTTTGTTAACATGAGTCCTGTTTCTAAATGGATAGCACATTTACCTCTACAGTTACTTATCATCGATGGGCAGCAGCTAAGAAGTGATCCAGCTACTGTGATGGACGAAGTGCAGAAGTTTCTTGGAGTCTCTCCTCATTACAATTACTCTGAAGCTCTAACGTGAGTCTGTTCCTTTATTATCTGCCCTATGGGATCACAGTGTATATCCCCTCGTACCAAAATTAGCTGATCGTTAATTACAAGCAAAAACCCAAAGAAACAAAAAACACAATACAACAATGATAATTTTGCAAAGCTTGAGGGTTTTTTAAAGCTATGTTTAATACCCATCCATTTTCCCTTAACTTCTATACATATAAGACATTACAGAATTTAATTGCATGATTGCATACATTTCCATGTGAAAATTTACTTTGAACAACATACAGAACAAACAACTGCTGACTATTTTGTATTAGATGCAAAGGCCTAGATTCATGTTAAAATGTCTCCTAGGTTTGAATGTTCGGTCAGAAATGTCCAAGACTTGTTTTCTTGGGATATCTAGTTTTGCCTTCACAGCTGTTCTGTTTAAAATGTAGGTTCAGCTGATGTAAGCTCTGCATATAAGAGCTCAGTATGTGTTTGCAAATCACACTGCTCAACTGTACAACAGTCTCCAGAAGCTAAAGGTCATCTAGAATCAGGCATGAAAATTTTGGCTCAAATATTTTTACCATATTCATATAGAAGTCTAATGAAAGAGTATGAGTTAGAAGCATCTAGTATGATAGGATTTATCTGTTCACATGGGGTTTTTTGTTTGTTTGCTTTTAATGTGGACCAAATATATCATTTTCTAATTCCATTTTCATAAATGGTTGAGCCAATTTTGCTGACTTTTTACCTGGTAGTAGACAGGGACATAGCACAGAAGAATTTAGTCTGTACACTTAAAATTTGTTAAAATTATAGTAGATCCCTAACTTGGCAGTGCTTGGGCTCAAGCACAGCACCTGGAGCACGGGGAAAAGCTCAAAGACCTCAGACTGAGCAGCCTGACTGTTCATGGCCTGGAGTGTCACTGCCAAAATTGTAGGTGCTTTGCAGGAGCTCAAATCAAGGTCCCCTGAACTTAGTAAAAGCCCTTTGATTGACTTCCTCTGGCCTTTCATTCCGATCTAGCAGAGGCAGCTGTGATCAGCCCGGATCACATTTCTCATCCTCACCACCTGGAGGATAAGGCTTTTCCCTGAAAAGGGATTAATGGCCTGTGTGGCACTCTTGCTTTGACATTTTTCAATTCCCTGCAGGAAGGTAGAATCTCTGCAGGGGTGGGAATGAGCTGAATTTCTCTCTCCCCTGTTAGTCTGGCAGAAAACTGTAAGCAGCTTTTGCACTGAGCCTCTCCATACGAGAAGCATCAGCTCATTACTGCCAGAAGCACTGTACTGGGAGCACCCTGGGACGCCCGTGGGCTGAGCAGCCTGGCAGTCCGCTGGAGGTATTCCCAAGTTGCTGTGCAAGCACAGAGCCCTGGCTGCTGCCCATGACTGTATGGGAGGTGGGAAATAGAAAAGTCTGTACCTCACCTTCCCCGCAGGCTGCTCACAGGGAGACTAGGGAAAATGAGAACCTGGGCTTTCCATCTACCACACACTGCCTCCTCTCTGCTCATGATTACTTTTTAATGTTTCCTCCACTGGGGGAGTTATAGTTATTTATATAACAGGTATAAAGTGGTAGATGAGTGTTTGTTGTTCTTTCAGCCTTAAGAACGCTGCTCTGCAAAAATCTTTTTCTAAAGGATAAAATTTGGATTTCAGAATATAATTTTTTAAGTCATTGGTTTCTGAAGTGGGTGAAATAGAGGAGGAATCTGAATACACAGCTGAACTACTGATGTTTGAACAACTGCTGCTGCACATCTGCAGTGCCTTCTGCTAGGTTTTTAAAAATACACACCCACATACATATATCTTCCTCTCTGTAACTAAATTAAAGTTGGTGGAGTCACACACCAGGAAATAATTTGGCCTCTCATATTTTTTTGGACAGGAAAAAGGGATTGTAAACAGATCTATAAAATTATGCAATCACTGTTTAGAAGCATCAAGAATGCAAATGCGCTGTGGAAGCACACACCCTGTACAGATTTAGGTTGGAAGAGAAAAATGCATTAAACAATGTACTGGCTTTACACTAGGACTGTCAAAGTAAAAAAGATTGCATAGGATCATTCCTAGTCATTATTGCCTAATAACTGTATACCACACATTTTTAAAGTTGTCGTAAAGCAGCCTAAGGACCCAGTCCTGCAAACACTGGTGAGCAACAGGTTCATCACCCTGAGTAATTACATGGACGTCTTGTAGGAGAGTAAAATCAACCCAGGCAGAAGGAAGATACTAAGCAGAGAGCTGACCCCTTCCCAAGCCAAGGAAAGAGATCAGAGGGGAGACAGAGGCAGGGCTCAGGCACCTGGAGAGAAGCGCATATCACACTGGGTTGGTAAGAGCTACAGCTGAGATAGGCCACTAGAATGTCACTTTGACACATGTTGCTAAAGAGGACCTAGACATTTTATTAGGGTAGTGAAAACCAAGGAGGAAAACCAACTAATGTTGCAGAGCCTTTACACACAATGCCATCAACAGAAATAGAATGGGATGCCCATAGTGCTAGGAGAGGGGAAATTAGTCAGTGGTGTCCACGAAGTTCCTACTTCTCAGCATTGAAGGATGTTTCTCACCTCTCATCCACCCACTTGCTGTCACAGGGAGTAACCAAGGGCTTAAAGTCTCTAAGTGTCTACACTTAATGAATAGAAGCCTAGGACACATGGACCTAAAGTTACAAAAGACCTTTCCTTTTAATCATAGGATGGCCCTGGCAAAGCTCAACTGACTGCTGGGAAGATGTATTTCATGCCCAGCATCCTCAGATGACTCACATCTGGGGTAGCGGGGGCTGGTGGTCCCCTTCTTTCTCTCTTGTTCTCAGTAGGCAACAAAGAAGGGAGGGAGGATAGATCTTAGTTTTAGCAACAAGCAGCCAAAATGCCGCTTCCTCTGGCTGGGCTCATCACATCATGCTCTGCCCACAGAGGCAGCTCCACGTCCAGCCTCTCAGGGGAGATTTCCCTCACTGTAACTTATGTGAACAGCACGAGGGAAAGGAAAAGACAGGATTAGGGGATCATGCTGAAGTAAATTTATTCTCTTGGGGTGCTGCTACATTTCATTAGAGAATAATAGAAATATCCTCATTGCTTAGCCCTTCCCATGGAGATCCCCGGGGCAGCCTGCAGTCAAAGGAAAATCAGCTTGCTGGAGATTGATAAGTGTCGGAGCCAAAGGAGCAACAAAACTCAGCTCTAGGGATAGCTAAATGCAAGGAAAAACTCTGAGCTATTTGCACGAAGGAGTAAAGCTTTAAAATGAGACTAATCTGGGTTTGGGTGCAGATAGGCCCTTGCAGGTGTCCTCTCCACTTCTTGCATCAGGTGCTGACTTCCCGAGAGGTGGGTGGGCGTATGAGTCCAGATCGAACCCTGCATTTCCCACAGGATTACTCTGCAACCCCAACAAAGTCTCCTCCTTGCCTAATGGTTCAGCTCATGTCCATGCTTTGCGGCAGTGATCTACCCCTGCTTGGCAGGCGCAAGATGAAATCTGCCCCTTCCAAGCAAGGGAGGCCAAGGATGTTCCTTGCAATGAACAGAGGGCAGAAAAGATAACCAGGCCTGGAGGAAAGGTTTCTGCTGACTGCTTTAAAAACATCACTTGTAACTTTAGTCTTAAGGCTATCACTATTTAAATAAACACTTCCATTCCACCCAATTATGTTTTCAGGAGTTCTGAGAGTTTCCTAATACCTGAACACAATAGATTGAATTCAGCCTGAGCTGCCTTACCCTCTTTTCCCCTACCCAAATTTGCACATTCTCTTAATAATATTCAATATGCTCAATATGGTCCTTCTGAGGCAGAAATATTGTTTGGGGCATAGTTTTGCAGTTTTACTTTTACCCACACTATATTACTTCTTCTCTTGGGAAATTAGTGCAAGCCAGCTAAAGTACTTCACCATGCAATGAGCAGATGGAAAAGGCCAAAGTAGAAAAGAATCTATCATTGATATATACATTTAATCAATGATTTATTATTTTTTAATTGATACAGTTAATGAGACAATTTAGGAAACAAGGGTCAGGCCTGCAATAAGAGGCTGGGCAAGAAAAACAATGTGAAGAAGGCTCACCCTTCTCCAGAAATTAGTTCATTTATGTACAGCAGCAAATGGCAGGTGCATCCATGTCATATGGATAGACCTGAGGCAAAAAGGTAGTCTGTAACTAACTCTATGTTCCAGCCAATTATACTTCATCCTTTTCAAACATCTGCTGAATAGCAGAAATGCAAACCTTTTCAATGTTTTATGCACGCTGCAAGTCCCATAGCAGTAAATTCCAAACTTAGCACTGCATGTTGTTCATTCCTTAGTGAGTACGTGTTTTAATGGCTTAATCTAAAATTCTTATATCTTTGAATTTTAGACAGCAAAATCAAATTGTGTATTTCAGATAAGACTGGTAAGATTGTGTTTATGCTATAAGCTGTCTTGGAATGAAAATTATATTTAGATATAATGATATGAAACAACCAGCTTCTCAGGTGCAGTTAAATTATCAATAGCCAACAAGCAATTCTTTCAGAAGACATAAACACTGCTTATTTCACTCAAAAATCAACATAAAACATTTCAATATTATATTTCTCATAGTTTTATAGTACATACTTTTCCGTATAAACAGACCTACAAATTAAGTCTGTGCCTGTTGAAGCCAGCAAATAGATCTGCTTGCCCATTTTAATCCCTCTCACCTTGACAATACTGACCTACAATAGTATCAGCTCAAACCAGTCATATGGAGAGCTATCCTTGAGCACAGCTGACAATGTTCTTGGGAGTATAGTGCATATAGTTTCAGGAAAAGAGCCAATAAGTATTTTTTTTCCAACAAAACATTCATTGTTCAAGTGCTAATTGATCAAAACATTAGCAAACTGCAGAGATACATGGAGCAGTTTGACATGAATAAAATCTCTGGTCAAAGCAATACAATAAAATATGAGTCACATTCTGGAGTGAAGCCATGTAAGATTCCTGAGACTGCTTAGGAACTTGGCTGTCATCCTGTAGAACAACACTTAAAACTTGTACCCTATATGCTGAACTAGTAGAATAAACATCAACTAGTGTAGGTAAAGTGCAAAGTGAAAAACTTCTTGCCTTGAGCCACTCCCAAGTAAATTTGTGGAAAATATAAATTTCCAGAGCTTGCTCAAGAGAGGAAAGCTGTTTCCCATTCTGCCCTCAGTATTTCGGTCATCTAGAGAGAGATGTGCAGCAAACATTTTTGGCTAACATTGACATTTTTGTATCTGGGAAATTCTTCTGCAGTTAGATCTTAAAAAAAATATAATCCTTTATAGGTTTGACCCTCAGAAAGGCTTTTGGTGCCAATTATTGGAAGGAGGAAAAACAAAGTGCCTGGGAAAAAGTAAAGGTCGAAAATACCCACCAATGGACCAAGAGGTAAGGGATTTCCAGAGGTTTAAGTCAATGTTTTTAATATGGAAACTGTGTTCTACTTCTAAAATAAACACACTTATTTCTTCATTTTTGTGTTTTCACTGGCTTGGTATTCTTAAAAGTCAGAAACTTTTAATGAGCTTTGAATGACAGGAGATTAACTGCCTCCTCTCAAGACCTCCTCTCTCGGAGCAGTGCACAGCTCCCAGGCAGTATCCACGCTGAGGCATGAACGCATGCTGAAATCTGCCGTCCGGTGCGTTTCCTTGTTTGACTCTGTTTTTTTCATCCTCAGTCTCGAGCATTTCTGTCAAGCTACTACAGAGACCACAACGTGGAGTTGTCCAAGCTGCTGCACAGGCTGGGGCAGCCACTGCCCTCCTGGCTGCGACAGGAGCTGCAGAAAGTCAGGTAGCACGCAAGGGCAGGGGACCTGATGAGGACAATTTCCTTTACCGTCAAACCCCTTGCTTCTCCAACTCACTTGTGATCATCAGTAAAGGACCTTATGAATAATGCTCTATTAAAAAAAAACAACAAACAAAACAAAAACAAAAAACCCACAAAAGAATTAAGAAAACAACCCCGACAACTGTTTATATGCACGCGCTGACAGTTATTATCATCGACCCCTTTTGTCAGCTTCCAGGAAATAATACGGAGCTACATGGCATTACTTTTCATCCAGACTGGGATTCGTGCATAGTCTAGTTCTTCTGTTCACCAGAAACTGTGTGTAGGACGGATTGACTTCATTGTACATGACAAATTGCAGTCTGTCAGGACACGAACAAAGGATGGGAACATCTCTTGCTGGATTGTGAGGTCGGTCATCCATTGGGATCTTTCCAAGTTTGTTTTCACTATTTTTCCCCCCAGACCCCTCAAGTTTTCCTGTCATTTTATAGGCTGATATTCAGGCCTTTGCAACCTGGATCCCTGATGGTTATGATGTATGTAGTATAAATGTATTATCATTGCTTTCTCCACAGAAAGGGGTGGTCTAAATTCTTGTCTTACCTACTTCTCTGGGATTCTTGTAATAACTGATGAAAGTTCTTTTGGTTTGTTTGAGGTTTAAATTTTGGGGCTATTTTCCTTCACAAGCTGTATCTCTATTCACTGGAATCGTGCGGGTTGTTGAGGTGCAAGGCAGCAAGGTGGCCCTCCTCCCAGATCCCAGCAAAATCCATTCTCTCTCTTTTGGACATGGCTACTTTGCCACCCTAATAAGGTTTTTCATCACACCAGTTGCGTTCCTACAGCAGCTGTGACAGACCTCTGAGATGTGAAATCATATCAAATATTTTGTTGTAATGCCATAGGATTTCTTAAAATATTATCAAAACCTTTTAAAATCTAAGCAGGCTGTGCAAGCAGTATATTGACTATATCCTAATATTGATAATTTTGTTTCAATCTGAAAAGCAATGTTTTTCCTCTGAAGCTTTCAAAATAAGAAACTGGATTAGTCATTTACAGTCTGAGTCTGCAAGCAGAAAAAAAAACCCCTTTAATGACCAAAGGTATTTGTTAAAGTTTTGAAAAAACTATGGTCTGTTGAAGAACAAATTCCTTCTATAGATTTTAATGGAGTTGAAAAGTCAAACATATCCACTATATATCACATATACATATATGAAGCATATATTTTTATGTCTGCATATCTACCTGCTGTATATCTGGATCACACATACACTTAGTTTTAAGTATCTGCTTTTTTTTGCCCATTGGTAAATGAAAGGGTGGATGACCAAAAAAAGGATATTATGAATTCTGCTTTCTTCTCAAAACTGTGTAAGCAAGGTCAACAAGACTGTGCCGAAACTCACTGGGAAGTTTAAACTGGGTGAACAAATGTCATCTAGGCATTTTAGCCTTGCAACACCTTTTCAGCAAGAAAAAAAAAAAAAGCTGAAAAAGCATTTCTGTTTGTTCTTTATGAAGCACAAAATGGAGCAGATTTCCATTTTCAAACTTCATTTCCTAGGCATAAGTCATTTCAGGTGCTGCAGAGGCTTTGTGCTTTCTCTCCCCATGAATTTGACTCTTACCTGCTACCTCAGGAGGCAGAACTGGAGGTTGAGGTTAGCTAGTGAGAGCTAACCTAGAGAGCTCTCTAGTGAGAGCTAGCCTTGAGGGGGTACAAATTTGTCTCCATTTAGGGCTCAGGGCAAAGCCAGGGAGCAGGATTTTCTCTCTATTGTCCCCCACCCTCCCAGAGGAGGTTTAAAAAAAAGGGAATAAAGACGCTTCACACAAGGTTGGAAGTTAAGACTGTAACAAGTTTAATGAAAACAACAGGGGAAAGGAAAAGGGAATTAACAAGGGACAAAGGATATTTAACTATATACAAAACCCAATCCCAGTAGTCCTGAGTGGAAGTGTCTGAGCAGTGCCTCATGGCAGCTGTGACTCATCACCAGGGACCACAGTAGTGCTGGGAGCGGATGGTGGGGTAGCCCAACCGTCCTGAGATGCTACAGGAAACCACCCCGGAGGCCAGCAAAGCCCACGAAAACCTCAGGCCTCCTCAGTTTTTTAGACTGTGGCCGAAAGTGGAGGTAACAGTACTGATCTCGGACCACCCAGGGTCCTACAGACACCACCTGTCCTTCCCTTTCAGGCTGTTAACCCTTAAACCGTAACAAAATTAGTGCACATCATGGACTGTGGTATTAAAGGACACTTTAATTAATTTATGCTTTGAACCAGTTGATGCACATAGATGTGTATCTTACCACTTCCAAAATCCTCCATCATAAGACTATCCACCAAGATCATGACACTAAGTAATTTTGGACTGACGAGTCCAGTGCTTCCCAGAGCTGTCTTTATGCCACTTATCCTGATCCCAGCTAGGCAACTGCGGCACTTGCCTGTGAGTGTCCTATAATGCCACAGTGTTTCCTTGGCCTTTATCACTTTTCTCCACCACTGATGTCCGAATGTGCCTGGCTGCTTCTTCCCTTTGTAGCATTTCAGCCCTTTTCCTGGTCCCAGCATTGGCCTGGTCCAGGTACCTCATTCACACAAGAAGCCAGCACTGCCCTGCCCACAAACACAGCCCAAGGAGTTGCACGAAAAGCCTGAGGTGCAACCAGCACCAAGTCCCTGCATGGCCCTTTGTGTTCCTGCTCTCCACCTCAGCCCTCACTCCTTCTGAAAAAGGACCCATGGCAGGGGTGGAAATAGCACAAGGACAGGTATCCCCTGCCCAGCTGCTGCTTGCTGCTGCAGGAGTCCAACCTGCCCAACCCCAGCCTATGCTGGGCACCAGCCTACACACACAAGGGTGTACACAAACACACAGCAAAGCCTGAAAGACAAGTGTTGCCCAGTCTCATGTTTTCTTTTAAATATTGAAATGGGATTAATCACACATAAGTGAGACATCTACTTGATTTTATAGACCATGAAGGGAAATAACGCTTCTAGGACACCATTCATCTCATCACAAAGCAGACTTCTTAAATGAGTGAGCTTAATCTTGCTTCTTCCTCTCTATTGATCTCAATAGACAGCTTGTTCAGAGGAAGGACTCAACTGTATAGGTTTAAATTAGGTGAGCTGAAAAGGAGGTGGTGTTTAATCTCACAGCTATAGTTGGTGAAAATGAGAGGGAGCTAGGAGGGTCTGAAGGAAGTTGGTTTGTTTGGTTTTTTTAGTCTGTTTTGTTTTCTTAAAATAAATTCCCTAGTTTTTATATTTTGATCAGAAGGACTCTTCAAAATGAGAGGCAACCTAAATACCAAATAAAAAGGAACATTATGTGTATCCCTTTTTTTTGGTTTTGGTGGGGGGGAAGTCAGTTACATGCTCTGTTGCAAATTCATGTTCTTTTAGCACCGATAATGCCAAAGATGACTAGTCTGATGAGAGTCTTGGGTAAGTAAGGTTTGGTCAGAGAAAGCTGAATTAGCCTCTGATAAAATTTTAGCTGCTCAAATGCATTAAAAGTGGCTCATCATTAATTAAAAGATGACTTCAAAACTTCTCAACTAAGAGCTAAATAAACAAAATTGGTTTCAGGTGTTTTTCAAGGAAATGAGGCAAATGCCATAAAATCTGGGCAATTCTTTCTTGTTCTTAATTCTTTTCTTGTAAACGAAAATCTAAGTCTTTCCAACTCTCAGCTCAGTAATAGCATTATATCCTTAAAACACACCGGACATTTTTATACCCCTTGTTATTTTTTAAGCTTGAATAGGTATCACATTTCCAAAAGATCTCGTGTTCCATTGAAAACTGACATTTGAAGTGACTTCATTATGTGTCATATAAAGATGAAATAACAGTATTTCAAAGCTTCATTCCTTCCACTTGTAATAGGACCCATCAACACAGAATTTCTCTAGACCACCATATTATAGAGGAGCCTTTGTGAAAAAGCTGTAAATTATCTCGATTTCTTTTATGCCTTTCATATCGTTGACCACATAATTGTTGGGATTCTTAAAGACCAGCAAAACAAATGCAATAAAAACGAAACATTTATTCATGGCAAGGAGGCTGTAGCTGGGAAAGAGAATGCTGGCTCTTCTTTCCTATTCATAAGCTGCAGGATTCATCTCCACAATACCTCCATGTGGTGCAGGCTGTAAATCAATAGGAGTTTTACAAACTGAAGGCCTGCAGCTGCAGCTTGCTCCTATTCCCCTGGAAATACTGATTCCTGCAGAGGTTTGAAGGAGCCTCGCTGCACTGAGGACCTGACCCTACTGCCTTAGAGACCAGTGGGACTCTTCCTATTTATTCCAGCAGACCCCAGCTGGCCCCCAAGAGCCAGTTTCATAAGATAAAACCCGTGTAGTTCAAGCATCATGTAGCTCTATCACTGCTGGAAATCCATCACCAGCTTGATTTCTATTACTGAGTGGTGAGTTCTTCTCCTGCCTCAGCCCCTGCTTTGTTAGTGCTATAGCATGGTTGGAGCTTTCGGACCTGCTGCCAGCTGCAAGCCATGCCCCAGCTTCAGCGCCCTGTGGGCCTGCACCATCTCTGATCTTGTCACACCACATAGATCTCTCTGCTCTATCCTCCTGCCTACAAGAAACAGAAAAGCCTATGGGCCAACACAGTTGTCAGGGTCTATGGCAGCACATTTGATGATTAAAGCAAGACTTTGGCTCTCAGAAAATCCAGTTCATATAATTGAGGTTGTCTTTGAGCGAGAAGCAATCAGAATGGAATCCAAAAACTTCTGAATTATGCATTGACCTCTCAAGGTCTAAAATAAAGTTGCCAGATTAACTGCTCATAGATGTTTTCCAATAAAACAAATTTTCTCCCAGATAGGGAATCAGACTGCTGAGCACCCCCAAAACAAATTAAGATGTCGGAATTATAAATTCTTGGGGGAGGAAAATGTTGCGTAATGAAAGTGCTGATGGGTCCAGACTCTCTGATGTGATAATAAGGCAGCAGGGACATGCCCTGAATACAAAAGCAAAGGCTGAATATTTTCCCTCTTCCTTACCCCGCCTCCTCTTCCTTCCCATTTTTTTAAATTTTGTGGCAGC